GTTTTATGTAATATGTAAATGCTGGGGGGGGGAGTTGCAATAGTGTAAAATGAACCATTTTCATGTTATATGTTGAAATAGAAAAAGTTTTGCACAGAAAAATGACTTTCAACTATTTAAAAAAATTACTTTAATCCGTGTCCATTTGAACTGCAACATAGGAGGGTTAACTGTAAAATAATAAGTAATTAAAAAACATTTTAACTGGTATTTTAGTTGCTAGTAAATACCAATTAATTACCTCAATCACCCACACAAATGGGCTTTTTGTTACAATACTTAAATTTGAAAAATGTTTTGTTCTTCTAGTTAGCCACTAGGTGGCAGTGTTGAAACATGTTCTAATATTATGTGCAGCGTCTAAAGAAAATAAATAAGTAAATGTATGTTTTTTTTTCTGTATTGACTTTAATATATACACAACCATTTTTTGATAATTAATGACACTGTTTAAGGACTCACTCTTGTGTTTATATTTAATGGTTAAATGTATGTTTTTTCAGAGTTCAGAGGTTTTGATTTTAGTATTAAAATAACTTTACTTATAAAATAAGAAAGCAACAGGTTGTCATTTCCTGAAGCTTTAAAAGCCTGTTTAAGAGTCACTGACTGACAGCGGGTTGTTCTTGTTCCAGCTGATGATCTTCGGCTTCTTCCTGTGTGCCGACGCCTTCCTGTACATCTTCACCCTTCTGCCCCTCAGGGTGCTGCTGGCCCTGCTGCGCCTCTTCACCCTGCCATGCTGCGGCTTCAGGTCAGAGCTTCGATATGCATACAGCTGTAAAYAAAGTTTGTGTAGCAGTGCTTTCTGGGTTCAGTGTGTGTTCAACCCAGGTGCTATTTGGATGGGATTATTCATAAASCTGACAGGGCTTTGGAGGATTCTTCACAATCTCCTAAAACTGATTGAAACGTCTGAGATCCTGTGGGGTCTTGGTTTAGACCAGTAAAACTAACTCGGATATGTTTTGGTATGCCAGCCTTCCTCTGAGAATCAAACACCTCGTTATAATTGTTGCCATTTCTTTGTCACTTTTTCATTCTTTTTATAAAAATAGCTGAAGAGTTTACTGTGATTACATGAAGTAACTGTAGAGCTGTTAGAGGTGTACCGTCCTGAAACTAGGGCTGCAACAACGAATCGATAAAAATCGATTATTGAAGGAGACCAATTATGGGTCCTAGAAATGTTTATGGTATGTCTGTTGGCTATCCAGACCATGTTCATTCAATTTAATGCACAAAATGATTCTCAGAGAATAAAATTTCCCATTTTCTACTTCTGCCTGCTCTGACTTCTGTTCAGAAGAGCTGTTTATGTTAATGAGCTCYKTTGGTAACGCCCTCCAAAAATCTGTTGACATTAGCTCCGCCCTCCAAAGCCAGCRTTTACGTTTGCATGGCTAATAATAGCAGAAGCTCCGTTGTACAACCATATGAGACCCAGAGGCAGAGTCGTGGTCGCAGCTTCTTCTTTTTTTCCTCTCCCTCCTCTGCTCTGCGCTCACTCTGCATGCTGTTACCAGAGCAGGGAGCAGCAGCGGTCAAAATACCTCAGAAACTCGAACAAATACGCTTTAACAAGGCTTTAATAAGCTAAACAATAGAGGTACATGAGAAAACGTGTTCATAACGAACGAAAACTAAATAAATAATTAGATTGTGTTCGTGCCAGTCTCAAACCTTAGTCTCCCACTCTCTGGTCCAACACTCTAACCATTGCCCTGTTGGAGGCTTGTTGTGAAATGAGCTGTGCATTACACAACAACACCGTGATGGTTCTTTATACTGAGGAGGTGGAGCTTCACCAGGGGGTTTCTAGGTAAGGGGCTGAACGCAGGTTCCGGCGGGTTGTCGTACGGCTTGTGACATCACAAAATGACTGAAGTATAAAACTTGTCGTTAATATACATTAAAAATACATTTACTTACAGTAAATATGCCTTGGGTGCATTTTTTTGGTCCTAGGACTGTTTTTTAAAGAAGTACATACCCAAAGTTGAGTAAAAAAAAAAACCTTTAAAAAGTGAATTTTGCATAATAGATCCCCTTTAAAAGCGTTTGCAATGAATTTCATCATCGTTTAGTTGTGTCGCGGAGCCGATTACATCACCCGCAGAGCGTTGTCAGTGCTGGCTGACCTAAATAAAGTTTGGGAAGAAAAAAAAAACTCTACCTGAAAGCTCCGCCCTCTCTGAGACCTTCGAGTGAAAGGTAGAGACTTCGAAGTTCGAACTTTAAACCAGTTCTAAATGCAAATAAATTCTAATTATAATAACAAATTAATAATAGTTTTACATCTAATATCGTATTTTATTATTTTCTTCTGTTTTCCTCATTCAGCAACCTATTAAATTTCTGTTTGGTTATGTTTTGATAGTTTGATTTTGATTAAAGAAATACGAAACAGTATAAGGTGTATCTATATAAACTGTTGTTGTAGAGGGATTGGATGTTCTTGTTTTTTTTTTTGTTGTTGTTATACCAAATAAATATTTGGCAAATATATTTGCTATCGAAGTCAACATCAATGCTTTTTACTTGTAATGGGATGTTCATTGAATAACTTTGATATTGCAGACACACCCCCTTGGTGGTGAAACAGATTATTGTAGGGATCCAGTAAGTTGGCACGACCTGTCATGGATTATGAACAAACAAGCCTTTTATCGTTTCTGTCTTAAAGTAATTTTCTTTTTTGCTATCTGAAACAGAAAATGAAACTCAAATCATTTAAAAAATTTTGACACTAAGAATGAGAAACGCTTTGTTTTTGAATTTTAATTTCAGTATTTTGAAACAAAAATCAAATATCCACTCAATTCTGAAGTTAACTTCAAAAAGGCAGCAGACCTGATAAACCTGTAATAAAAATGGGTTTCAGTTGGTGTCTTCAAACAAGAAAACAACATTTTGTTTCAGATACATTATTAACGTTAGTGGTCTGTTGAGGTCTGTGTTTGTAAACGTTAGTCCTCATTAAAAAAAATCCCTAGATTACGTATGGTAACCCTGGCCACAGTCACTGTGTCCTCCTGCCTGACTCTTCCCTCCCCTTCCTCCCCCTGCAGGGCTCACACATGCCCCTACTGCAGAAGAAGCAGGTACGCTCCCACAAGCCCGCTGGGCCTTCATAAACATTATTACTGTCTCCAGTTGGACCCCGCCCTCCACATCAGTTCACCAGTCTCCATCCATCTCCATTTTGTTTCAGCGTACAGCTTGGCACCACAACTCATGTCCCTGTYGTCAGCGTAAAACAGTCAGGGTTTGTGTTTCAAACCAGTCCAGTGAAAARCTGCTGAGCTTGCATGATTATTCATGTCACTGTGTTAATTGTCAGTGAAACAGCTGCAGAGGTGCTGCACGGCTGTGTTCTGTGGCACCTCTCTGCACTTTGGTTTTATATACCGTACATATATAACCGCTGCACAGAAGCAAAGTGGCTACKCTACTCACCGTTCAGCTTCTCTAACAGGATCTCCCTCCTTGTTTTCTGGACCTCAGYGTTGAACTTTGTTTCATGCTGATAAGGTGTGAAATGGACCGAGTCAAGGCCGCTCCACATGCAGCGAACGAGGTCACATAATATTCACTTGGGTCAGTCAGATGGTSTTTGCAGAATGGAGATAGTGCAAACTGCAGTTTGAGCAGAGGGAGTCTACCTGCTGCAGCAGCTCTGGGTCCGAGCAGCAGTGGGCTCAGAATGAGATGTAAAGTGAGGGTCTCTGTGTGTGTGTGTGTGTGTGTGTGTGTGTGTGTGTGTGTGTGTGTGTCAGCGCTGCAGCTAATCTGAATGCTAAAGTTTCCTTCTTATCCACAAGTTAAAGAGACGTGAAACATTGCTGATAAAATCTCAAAGAACTCAGTCTTTTTTTCTTTTATTAAAGCATAATTATTGATTTGACATTGCTTAATAACTTTAATGAGGACCATGTTATTTTTTTTATAATAAAATATATCTAAACAAACAATTGGGACACATATAAGTAATGACAAGTTGGAGCTACAACCTCAAGAATAATAAAAATACATTTGCCTTAAATCTACTTGCATTTAACCAAAAATTCTTATTGAAAAGTTTTCACTATTTATTAAATCATGAAACATTTTGATTTAAGTTTTAGAGAAAAAAATWAAAAATATATATTGCAAAAATCATATTGCATGCTGTATAGTGAGCTGACAATATGAAATTTAACAAAAGGTAACTTCAGAAATGTGCATCACAAAATGCTGACAAAATGTACACTCTCTAAAGTTTCTACAAATCACTTTAAAATGTTTACTTGCAAAATGTGGGAGGAAATATTCAGAAATGAGTAATGTTAACTAGGGGTGCACCGATAGCAGTTTTCTAGCCGATCACTGATCTTTAAAATGTTTGACCTTCTGATTCTGATTTTGTCCAATACAGAATTTTTAAATAGCTGACACTGTCATGGTATAAGGTCACATTACACCTTCAATGTTCCRATCTTATTTTATTGAAACAGATTGAACAAAACCCTTGAAACAAACAAACTTGTTGTAACAACATTAGGCAGAGCTCACAGCAGAGCTAAAGGGAACAGTGGCTGATCTTCAGACCTTTGTGGAGGAGAAGYTGATGTTTTCCACCGATCTTGTCTAAGATTCGGACGATCTCCCAAAATTAAGTAAATCAGCCCTAATGTTAACATTTGAACTGTTTGTTGGCATTTTTGTACACGTTCTGTACTTTTCTGTAAACCAGTTTACATGAGACCAGTAGATGGAGCCTTTGTCTCAGGAAAACAAACTACAAGTCATCCAGACCAGAAACAGTTCTCATGTTTCTGCAGTATTTTCTCTGCATGTTTATGACATGGACATGGATAAATATGGAGCAGTGAGCTCTATTTAAAATCACATTGAGTACCATCATTGCCTCTAACAATGGGGGGAGAATCCCATATGTCCTTGTCTTCTCTTCCATGTTTAATGCTCAACTGCACATTGATTGAAATGATTGCAAAACACAAAAATAAGGTGTTTTATTACAAACTCAACACTAAAACTGTTTTATTTTTTGCTTATACGAATCACATTTTTTTCAGTTCAGTAGAAAAAAGAACAACATTAGTTTCTTAATTTCTTCATCATACATTTTTTTTGTTATATAAAGAGGAAAGAGGAAAAGAGAGAGAGAAATAGAGGAAATGTAAATAGAAAGACTGAAAGAGATAAAATATACACCAAGAAAACACAAGGCCACACATCTGACATCTGTCTGCTCACCTGAAAATAAATGAATATAAGAAAACATGGCAACAAAATATTATGGAAGCCCATTTCCACCACCCTCATAAAAAATAAAACTTGTATCTCATAATTATGAGATACTATCTCATAATTTTGACTTAGGTATCTCATAATTATGTGATAGATGTGAGATACTATCTCGTAATTATGACCTAGTATCTCATAATTATGAGATACTTTCTCATAATTATGACTTAGCATGGTGAATTAGGGATTCAGATAGAGTAATATTTTAGGTCAGAAGAACTTTTTTTATTTCCCTCATAGTTGAATCATTAGAGCAACATTGTTCTTCAAGAGCTTTTATTCCCACTGTAATGTCAGGTGTTTGATTTATATGGTGAAAGGACAAAAAAATAACTTCATTACCGCAGTATTCTGTTTAGACACACACATACAGCGGGTAAAATAAGTATTGAACACGTCACCATTTTTCTCAGTAATTATATTACTAGAGGTGCTAATG